AATAGATAGATGAATAGATAGATAGATAGATAGATAGATAGATAGATAGATAGATAGATAGATAGATAGATAGATAGATAGATAGATAGATAGATAGATACATGTATGCATGTATATGTTTATGTATATATTTGTGTGTATGTATGCATGCATGCATGTATTTATGTATATGTATGTATGTATGTATGTATGTATGTATGTATGTATGTATGTATGTATGTATGCATGTATGTATGTATGTATGCATGTATGAATGTATGCAAGCATGAATGAAACAAATAAGAGGTAAACATGAGTTGATAAGTTGTAAGGGCAAATCAGATTTTTTTTTTTTTTTTTTTTTTTTTTTTGTATTGCCTAACCAGACAGTTATTCAAATATATACAAAAGCAAAATATAAAGAACAATGAATAGGAACAAATGAAACATCTGCGAGGTGTCTCCAGTACCACAAGTGAAAGATGTAAACAAAGACAACAGCTGCCTTTTGAATGTTAGTGGACAACAAACAAAAAGGAAACATCACTGATTTCATCTTAGAGCATTCAGGACTGTTGATGATTTTAGAAAACCTTTACACAACTAAAAATGCCTGATATTTTATGTGAAATAATAATAATAATAATGTAAAAACAAGAAATTCATAAACCATTAGAATAAAGCCACTATGGAGTCTTGTGTTGTTCCATGAATGTTCTTAGAATAGGCTGCATTGTTTTCTGTTGTACCTGCAACAATAATGCTAATGAAAAAAAAAGTTGCCTTGAATGATACATAAAGTGCATAACCAACTGTGTGAAGCCTAGTCTTAATTCATTTCACAGGGTCAAAAGAACACAACTGGCCTTTTTAAATCAGATTGTATTATCCTTCAGCATACTTGAGTGGGAATGTCCTAGTTGCCCTTTAAGTTTTATTTAATATTTAGAGGCTGTTTGAGGTGATTTGGAATACCTGCTACAGTTTTAATAAGTGCCTTTACAGTAGTCCTACTAGGTAAGCACACTTTGTTAACTTATCTTTTTGCTCACACTTGTCCCTTTTCTTGGTCTTTATTGTAAAAGGTCATGCATGAAGGTGGTGACATATAGCGACGCAGAGAGCAAGATTCAGACAAGAAAGAAAAGCAGCAGACATTAGTGTGTACTTGCTTGTTCATGAGATGGAGTCAAAGTGGAATAGAAAAAAAAAGCAGCCCTATTCTAGCAGGATGTGCCCAAAAACCATTATAGATTAAAGCTAATATGGCAACATCTAAGCGCTAGTTCTAGTAAATCTTGATATTGTATAGTCTTGGTAAAAGAAACATAACACACTCAAAAAAAAAAAAAAAGAGAAATAAAAACTAACCATTATAAGCAAATTGGACAGCATGATTACATACCATGCTACAATTTTTTTTTTTTTTTTTGTCTAAAGTAAATCTCAAAGTGAACTAGATAAAACAAAGTATTTTTTTAAGCCATTAAACATAAATTGAGGTACAGTGAAAATAAAGTATTATGTCCAAACACAAAATATTGAACCCAATTCCACACAAAGCACCATACTGCAGGCAGATGTTGAGGTCATTAAAAGGGAAACCTTTCTAGCTTTTTTTTTTTTTTTTTTTAACTGATGGATACAATGTTATAGTTAAAAAAATGCATACAAATTCTAATGCTGTGCTAAAAGTGAAGGCAACATAACATTTGTCGTCAGAATGTGATAATGTGATGTTTTACAGGCTCAAAGAGGGAATTGAACAAAACAAGTCTGATCTTGTCCTGAGCCTGGTTCTGCTGGAGGTTTCTTCCATTTAAAAGGGAGTTTTTCCTTCCCACTGTTGCCACTGTGCTTGCTCAGGATGAGAGACTGCAACAAAGCCAATATTCAACTTGTCTGCTGGGTTCCTTAGATAGAGAACTTTACTAATTGGCTTTTTTATGTATGTGAATGTTTCTGTAAAGTGCCCTGAGACAACTTTGTTGTGATTTGGTGATATATATATATATATATATATATATATATATATACATAAATTGAATTGGATTTAATTTAATTTTGCTTGTTTGGATTGGGTTATTGAAAAAAATAATAATAATATATAAAAAAATAAATAAAGGTCCCTGCCATAGTTAGTTTTAAATCACAGTTTTTAAAGGAACAAGTAGTCAACAGATGTGTCTACTTGTATCACTTTCTACTGTGCTTTTACTTCATAATCTATAAATTTACCTTGTAATGAAAGACAAATAGATGCTGAAATTTGAGTAGTCTTTGTAGAAGCCAAAAGAAAGTTTGTTTTTAATTATATATGTCTGTATAAATTAGAAAAAAAAATAGCAGGTGTACAATTTAAAACATGAATTGCATTAGGAAAAGCAGTGTTTTTTATTTTTATTTTAATTTTTTTGATTTAGTGAAACTGTTTCACAGAATTAAATTAGCCTTGCAAAAATAAAGATGTGCTGATAAGGTACTTATGTCATGTTTGCATGAATTCACTGTTATTGTGATATTTGTCACCAACAAAAGCTTAAAAAGCATAAGCAGAACAATGTCATTGTTTAATAAAACGAACAAAAGTAAATCCAAAGCAGTCTGACAGCTGCTCTGTTACTGGATCAGTAATAGTTTTAAAACGAAAAAGGAACTTGTTGTCTTTAAAATATTTAAATAAGTACAAAAATGTGTCTTTGGCCCATACCTTCATATGATTGTTCAACAATTCCAGTTTACAAGTAGCTTAAAATAAGTATTTGATTGTGCTACACTTGTCTACAGTGTCATTCAGCTATGCAGTTTCAGAAGGGCAAGGAGGAACAGCAGACTTTTTCTCCTTTCATTTCTGAAGCCTCTTCTTTATCATGATCCATCCTCTTAATGGAAAGTGTGCTCACCTCGAACTATGTGTGAGGAGAACTCGTAGCGATCTTTGCTTCGATGACCGCAAATGTTGCACTCAAGCGCATCTCTATATCCATGACAACCCATGTGAATGGTGTACATGACATGGTCCAGGAAAAGCACTCGACAATGCTCACATTGAAAGGCCCGTAACTCATGGCCCTCTCGTCCAAACACCCGCACGCCTTCTTGGTTCACAGGCCTCTCGGGGGCGACTTTCGTTGTCCCTGCGCCTGTCCCACTAATGGGTGACGGGACAATAACTCGCTCACCCAAACTGACTACGACAGGACTGGATCGAGATCTGAGGCCTGAAGGGGCATTGCTGCCATGATAGCCATGCCTGTCCTGAGGGCTACTACGAGCTGAGTCAGCAGAGTCAACTCCACTGTTACTAGGCGATGCTGCTTGTCCGGACAGGAGCGGGATGTTGTGCTTAGTTAAGGCAGTGGGGCCATTTAAGGTGGGATGGCTGGGGAACTCATGGTGCTGGGGTGGCTGAGGATGGAGTGTGTCACAGTTTCCTGGACGGTCTGTTTGCTGGCTCAGTGGCAGGACAGGATGAAAAAGGGGGTTGACCATTGGCACCACCTCACCAATAGATAACGAAGGACCAGGATGGTGGAGCATAGGTCGAAGGGTGTCTGATCCCAAATATGCCATGGCGTTGTTGATGGTCTGGTCCATCATGTGTGCCGGTATCAGCTCAGGACGGTTTTCATACTTTGGGTGCATCCCATAGCCTAAGTCAGGATAGCTGTAGCGAATCATCTTGTCTCCTATGAATAAGAGTTGCACGAAAATTAAACAGAATTAGATTTCTTATGCATGTTGCAAATTTTGGAAATATGAATAAAACAAATAAAACTCATATTGGCACCTGCAATTAATATAATATAAATAAATAAATAAATAAATATATATATATATATATATATATATATATATATATATATATATATATATATATATACACACACACACAAGTATCACTTTGACTTTCCCTTCAAGCCTATCAGACTTTTTGTGCAGACTTTTCTGATCGTGTTTGCCACATTTTGCACAATATGTTCAAGTCTAATGGGGCGGAAAGCCCCATCCATCTACTATTGCACTGTTTAACCCCTCCAGATCAGGGATGCGGTAAGCTGTTTCTTCTTGATAAGAGCAATGGCAAAGTTACAGGTGTACCTAACCACAGAGAGAAAAACATTTCCTTGCCTTTGAGTCCTCTGCTTGCTCTAGCTTGCTCAATCTCTTCTTCTAATAGAGTGGCAAATAAGAAAAAGGAAACAAAACTGAAAAATGTCTCATAAATAGGTCATGGTTGATGTATAATATAATGATATGATTCAACACCGTTAAGACATTAACCAGTTGTAAACAAAAAGTGACAATAGTTTTAAATATTAACTTTTGATAAGAATTAAATATTGTATTTTTAAAAATGATTCCGGAACAAAATGTGAAATGTTATCAAAACTTATTTTGTTTAATTGTCTTAAAGTAACTAATAAAAATTGAACTGCTACATAGTCACATAATAAGTAAGGAAAGGTTTATAAAAAGTCACATTTAGGACTATTGTTCAAGAATTCAATGTAAAACCTAAACGAATGAAGACTTTATAAATGTCTTTTATTTGGTCTCTCTTTACGTACTCTCGGTCAGTTAGGCTGATGATTGTTTGGCTGAATCTGAAATACTCACCCACAAATTTCTGAGGTGTAGTGCTCTTCCTCTTGCCTACATTGGTGGGTAGCCTTTCAATGACAGGTGCCCTATCAAACGTAGCCAAAGAGCCAGGTTCTGCCATGGCCCTGGTCTCCTTTATGACCTCACCTTCAAAATTTGAGACATAAATAATACAAATACATAAAGAGATGTACCTAAAATAAACTGAGGTTCATGAAACAGTCTTTGTGACAATTAACAAAAGGTAAACAATTAGGTTTTTAGCTTTAAGAGCAATTGAGTTTTATCTCTCTTTCTATGTTGTTGTGTTTTTTTCTGCTAACTTCAACAATGGCCACCACAGTGAGTGAACTTGCAAGATGGATTTAACAAATGTTTCCCCTTCCAGACCCAACATGTGCTCAAACCTGCAGCCTCAAGATTACAAGACCGCAGCAGTGACCACCGAGCTACCACTGCCACATCACTGGCGTTAACATGCATTACCTTAACTCCACTGAGATGTGGTTCATGTCATTTATTTTGAAATTGTGATCGCATTTTATACAAAAAAAAAAAAAAAATCTGTTGTCAAATAAAATACTAATAAAAATCGAGGGGAAAAAAATGCATGCGAAAGTGATCCTAATTGCATTTGGGTTCCAGTGATGGCAGCTACGACAATAACAACAACAACAACAACAACAATAACAACAACAACAACAATCTAATTTATTAGATAACAGTTATGTATTTGCTGTATTGTATTTGTTTTAATTGAATTATTAGGTAAACTGAGTATGTGTTTGTACAAATGTCAGTCCTTTGTGTAATTCATAACACATCTAGCATTTACCTGCAGTGTGTTTTGGTTTAAACTGTTACTGATCATGGCTCCTAGGGTAGTGCACTCATTCACCTGCGTATGATCCAGTGTTGGAGGTAGGATCCAAGCAGATTCCCTGCAGGTAACTGTGGCAACGCTCTTTGTGTTCCTCTAGCGACGTCCTCTGCTTGTAACTCCGTCCACAGTAGTTGCATTTGTATGGCTTGCCGACTAAAACGATACATATTCAATGGAGAAAGTATTCATTTTAGTCATTGCTCTACAGTGGGTAGTGGTTTAGTACCGCGGTATTTAGGCCATGCGTAGTAGTAAAAAGTTATTAAGAGCTGGTTGTACAAAAGCAAAACTAGGCTTATGAGATCACGGAGGTTCCACTACTAGAGTAAGAATTCCACACGACTGCTGCTAGACTGAAACACACTGTGGGCGACAGATAGTTGTGCCACGAAGTCTGTATTTCAAAACTCTTTTGCTATGTGAACCAAAGCAAACTCCCACCACGGTAGCACAGCATGAGTAAATAATGGAGTTGATCAAGCATCCCTTGATGATGGTAGGAAACTAACTCCAAGTTAAACTGCTATGGAGGTGGAGTGTGATTCATTGTGTCATTTTTCTTTATCTCAATTCATTCCTGCCAAGACAAGTGGAAAGATCAAGATGCATTCTAGTTTTATTCTTCTTTCCAACTTAAACATTCAACCCATGTATCCTTCCACCTGCCCAATGTATTTTGATGCAAATGTGTTTAGTTGACATTTAAACAAAAGCTGTCTGCATAATGAAACAAAAGGAAAATGGAAGTATTTTACAAACATGATAAGTGCACTATATAAGTCACTGTTCTACAAAGGCATTGACTGCTGAGACATAGGTTCTGTGTCCTGTATTAGTGTACTCTAAACTAATGTAATGACTCATAAAGAGGATCAGTGAGTAAACTGGAGGGTGCATAAGCATACTGCTAAGAACTAAACACCGTCACTGGAACTGCAATGCACGGCGTTCACTATAGTAGTGACTACTATTACTACTAGAAAATGATGTACATGTGATCTGGCACTGTGGGAACAGAGAAACAAGCACGTTTCAGTCTGAGCCATTGAGGCTATGACATCCATGCACTTATAAACACATACAGTTGGAGGTAGATGACAAATCATTCATTGATATAAACACTGTTTGTTTGACCGAAAAATATTGTTTTTTTGTTGTTGTTTTTTAAACACATGCAATTTAAATAATATTGATCATCATTGTAATTATCATAAAATTACAAGGAAAGTGAAAAATAACTAAATATTATTCTAACAGTAAATGTCCCATTGTTTTTTGGGGTTTTTTTTTATGATGACTTTGAACTAAAAAAACACTTGTTAAAACATGAAGACCAGTCATGGTCGACATTAAATCAACTTTTCATTTTATATATTTATTTTTTTCCCCATTCTTTCTTTTATAGTACAAAGTATATGAATAACACTGTAGAGGCAGAGCAAAATGACAATGTTCCATATTACTGTTTAAATGTATGTAAGTGACTATAAAGGGTCATTGCAGCAATATACTCTGAATAACAGAGTCACTTCTTAATAAAACGTTATATGGATTTGTTTTTTCTTCACTTTTTTTCACTCTGCTCATCAGTCATAAAAGACTCACAGAGTAAAGTAGGTAAAAACTAATCCCCTTGTTCTAAATGACTCACATTTGCTTGCTCCCTCACATGCACAAACAAAACTTCATTACTTTTTTCATATTTATGTGACCGCCCACACACAACCTTGTGCAGATGTTGGATAGACCGGAAGAATCCACCTTTCAGCTGCTATTCTTTATGCAAATTTAACACTCGCTGAACTCAGACTCACTTGACTGATGGCATTTGGCTAATAAATGAGAGATTGCGTGCATTCAGTGACTAATAAAATCTGCTTTCCTCTCAACTTAAATGTTTTTATATTTGAGTGTATGTTGTTGTTTTAACAATCATCTTTGCCTGGGTGAAAAAAAAAAAAAAAAGTTGCACACAGTTAAGCATTGTCTTTGTCTTCCTTACAGTCTATCACTATCAAATTTGAATCTGACTTTTCTTTCTTGTGTGTTTATTAGGCTGAGCAGCGGACCAGGACTGCCATCTTTGCAGCACTCTAAGAATGAGCACTAGACAGATATATCAAGTGGTAATCACTGTGAAAACAAACAAGCAAACATATTAGAACATACCTAAACTCAAATGTTTCCTTCATTAAAAAAAAAAAAAAAATCATGTAACCTCTTGGGGGCATCAAATGCAAAGAGACAGCATTGTCTGATCTTGATTTCAAAGGCCCGACAGAGGGGAGAGCACATCCTCTGATAAAAAACAGTCAGTTACAGTTGAGAGAGACAGCCAGCACTCCATATGTTTCTCAACCGAAAGTTTCCTCCATCGCAAGACAAGCAGCTAAGCAGCATACCTTTGGAACCTAACCACAAGGAGTTCACAATGATGTCTATACCATGCACTTTAAACACTAAAACTTTCCAAAACCCTGTCTCTTCAACATGCAGGTGTCTCTGAGTCAAACTGGTGGGTCGGGAAAATATTTAGGAGGTAATAAGAACACCTTAAGGGTTTGTGTGTGTGTGTGTGTGTGTGTGTGTGTGAGTGTTAGCTTGTTTGTCTGTTTTTAAAAACAAAACAAAAAACAAATGAAAACACACACAGCCATATATATA